AATGTTGGGACAGTACAGCTCCAATGGCGAAGATGGAGGCGTCAGTGGTGACATAGAAATGGCGAGTGGGGTCGGCGATCTTGAGGACAGGGGCCATGGTGATGGTTTGCTTGAGTAACTCGAAAACGTGTTGGCGACGATCGTTCCAATTGAAGGGCTCGTCCTTGTGGGTGAATTCGTGGAGAGGGTAAGAGATCTCAGAAAAGTTGTGAACTAATGGGCGGTAATAGTTGGCAAGGTCGAGGAAGGAACAGAGTTGGAGGAGGGTTTTGGGCGGGGGGTACTCGACGAGGGTTGTGACCTTCGAGGGGTCCCTATGGATGCCTTCAACGGAGACAATGTGGTCGAGGTATTCCACGCTCGAAGCGGCAAACGTACATTTGCTGAGCTTGGCGTAGAAGGTGGGGCTAAAGATGAGGATGTCATCAAGGTACACGACGACGCAGACTTCGAGGAGGTCACGAAAGATATGATTCATGGTGGACTGAAATGTGGCGGGGGCATTGGTGAGGCCGAAAGGCATTGCGAGGAACTCTTAAGTGCCCGAACGGAGAGTGGGATGTCGTCTTATGGGTGTCCTCATCGCGGATACGGAGCTGGTGGAAGCCACTGCGAAGGTCAATTCTGGTGAAATATTTGGCTCCACGAAGTCGATCAAGGAGCTCGAAGATCCGAGGTAAGGGGTACTTGTTCTTGATCGTGATCCGTTTCAAGGCGCGGTAGTCTGTGCACATGCGGAGTTTCGAAGTTCCACCTTTCTTTACAAAAAGGCAGCTAGTACCGAAGGGAGATGAACTCGGCTTAATGAACCTTTTTTCAACGAGCTCATTGAGATGCCGCTTCATTTCTTTGGCTTCAGGGACCGAGCGTTGGTATGGAGGGCGGCAAGGTGAAGAATGTCCGGGCTTCAAATCGATGGTATGGGATACGCCACGATCCAGAGCTAATCCGGCAGGCAGGGACTCAAGGAAGACGTCCATGAACTCGTCGAGGATGGAGGTGAAGGCGGGGTCAGAGTGGGAGGCTTGATCGGGTTTGTCTGTTGGGAGTAAGTCCTTGGGACTTTCGCGGTCAAGGACAAGGCAATAGTAGGTGGGCCATGTGGAGGAATTGATGCGGGGTGACGGAGCCTTGGGAGGTCGGATATGGGAGATAGGGAATGTCGATGGTTGTGTCGGGGGGGTTGGTGAGGCGGACGAAGTTGGGGTGGAATGCGTATGGCATGTAGCGGTCCAGCCACAGTGTTTCTAAGACGATGCCACACATCAAATGCATGACATCAAATGAGACCTGACTACGGAGGGTTCCTACTGTCATGGTGGTCTCGGGAACCGTGAGGTCCACTGCGATGGCGGTGTCTTTGTCCCCTAGGCGGATTGTAATTCGGGAGTCATAACTGGTAGAGGTAAGACCGGCTTTTCGGACACATGCGTCGGTGATGAAGTTATCGGTGGCTCCTATGTAGAGGAGGGCCCGGAACTTAGTTGTAGACTTACCAAGGGTGGCAGCGATGAATTTGAGGTGGAAACGGGATGAGTTGGCGGTGGTGATAATGGTGTTGAGGCGGCGTTGTTTGTTGCCTAACTGGACAAGCCGATCGAGTCGAGCTTGTTCCTCGACAACAGCGGAGAAGGTGACAGAGGATGGATTTGGAAGGAGGGTGGAGGAGCACAAAGCAGTGGGGGGCATCTCAAGGGATGAAGGTTGCAACGCCTCGGGGTCATCCGATGGAGAGGGTGTCATCGGGGAGGGGGGAGGCAGACAGATTGTCGATGCCAAATGGGCCGTCAGTGGGAGGGGGATGTTACCGGCGGGTTGGCCGACAGACGAGTTGTCGATGCCGGGACGAGGTCCAGGGGACTGTGTTCAGGACAAGGAGGGACCCGCGCCTGCGGAGGGGGGTGACGCGAAGGTTGCGGGTCGATGTAAGTGTTTAGTGTATCGGAGAGGGTGTCAAGGTCGGGGGAGGTAAACTCATCCGAGGAGGTGGTGGAGGTGGTGTCCTCGGAGGTGATGCTGTGGAAGAAGCAAGGGCAGGGAGGGGTCGATGTAAGTGCGGTCTTGTAGGGGGAGAGGATGCGGTCGAGTTGGAGGGTATGAGTGAGGAGGTCGGCGAGGGTCATGGGGGGCTCGTGGACAAGGGCGGCCGCTAGGTCTTTATGGCAAACGCGCTTAACGCGGGATATGAAAGCGAAATCGCTAACAACGTCAAAGGGGATATGTTGACAAAGCGAGCCGACGTATTGCACAAAACGGTCGGTTGGTCCATTTCGTTGGAGCCGATAGAATTGGTCGATATAGTTGTCGACCGTTTTTTGTGGGCGGAAGGTGGAGGTGATGAGGGTGGCCCACTCAAGGAAGGTGTGAGGCCGGTGGCTGGTGTGGTGGCGATTAGACATTTCGGTGTACCACCAGCAAGCAGCGTTGTCTAGAAGTCGGCTGTCAGCGATGGGGAGCCAGTGGATGACGGGGATGCCATGGAGGGAGAAGGCTTGTTGGAGTTTGGTGAGAAAGACGACGACATCCTCATGGGGTTGGCCCGAGAAGGTGGGGATTTCGTTGACGCGGAATGATGGTGGGATTTTGCCTTCTCTGGGGTTAATGGTGGCAAGGGTATTGAAATCAAGGGTGGGAGAGGGAGAGTCGAACAGGGTGAAATCATTGGCGGGGTTGGTGGGGATGAGAGCATTTGGGGGAAGTAGTGGAGGAGCGGGATCCACAGCTTGTGGAGTGATCTGGGTATAGTTGGGGATGGTTGAGGTGATAGTGGAGGTGGATAAGAGCGGTTTTGATTGGGAGGGGACGGTTGATGACTGTGTGACGGCAGGGGTTGTCGTCTTGGGCGAGGGGGGAGGTGGAGCGACCGTGGTGGAGGTAGTGGTGGATGAGGGTGGGGATGTACAGGTGGATAGTGTTGGTGTGGAGGTTGAAGCGGAGGCTTGTCCGGAGGAGGGGGTGGTTTGGGGTGTGGAGGAGGGGGGTGTGGTCGTGGTGACCACCGTGATGGCGGGGGAGTTTCTCTCGAGCATGGTGACACGAGCGGAGATGGCGGCCATTGTGGTGTTGATGGTGGCGAGGGAGGATTTGAGGGCGGTCAATGTTTGGAGGATAGTTGCGACTTTCAGGATGGTGGTGGTCGAAGTTGGCTGATTGCCTGCGAGTTCGTGGGCAATGCTGTTGACGGAGTCAGAGTGAAGATCAGACATGTTGATGGAAGATTGGGCCATGGTGGAGGAAGAGGGGGTGGATGACGTGGCCGGAGCGGAAGTGGAGGCGGTAGCAACGGATGTGATAGAGGCAGCGGTGGCGGCGCCAGCGGCGTCGGCGGCAACGCGTTGGGAGTTCTTGGTTTGGCATGGTGGCATGTGGAGATGCGGGGAACAATTCCTATTTACAAGAATAGAGAGTCATCAAGTGATTTAGCAATGAAGGTAGCATAATTAATTTTGAAACAATTAATTTGAATTTATTCGAAATTAATTCGAGTGTATTTTCAATAAATACGAAAGCGAAATTTTCAAGAATTTCCAAGTGAAAAAAAAAAAAAATCTGAGAAAAATAAATTATGACGAAATTTATTCGGATTTACGTTCGGGGAAATTTTATTATTTGGAGAAGGGATGATTAATTCCGAGTAAAAAAGATTTAAGTCCGTTGTGAATTAATTGAGTTTAGTCGAAATTAGTTAAGGAGTTCGGAGAAAAAAGGAAGTACTCCTGAACTACGTTACCGAACATACACGTACGGGGCCTTTCCGTACGAAACGTACAGACAATATCTGTACGGGAACCTGTACGCCCCCGTACAACCCGAAGGTCATTCAAAAAATCTGAAAAACATATATGTGATGTAACATCCCAAAACAAGCAACATTTGCCTGAGCACCATCTGCAGATTCTTATTAGAATTGGAAAAAATAAAATAAAAACAGTAAAAAAAAATAAAAAAAGTTGTATGGGGCCTTGAGTACGAGTAGCGTACAAGAAATGAGTGCAGCTCGTATATCGTACGGGAGTGAGTACAAGTCGCAACATAGCTTTTGAATAAAAAGAGAATTTTAAAAAAGAATTGCGAAAAATAATTTTTTGAATTTCAAGAAAAATTGCAAAAAGGAATTTTAGGAATTAAAATTATGAGGAAATATAATTAATTGAAATTATTTTTGAATTTTGAAAAGGAAATATTGAAAATGAATTCTAATTTCTAACGTATTTCCAAAAGTTTTAAAAGTAGTCTCAGAAAAGAGGAAAAAGGAAAAGCAATGTTAAGAAAAACTTCATTAATTCGAACGAAAAGAACTTATTAATTCTAATTTTTTTTGAAAAAACAATTAACGAAAATTATTTTTGAAGTTCGAGGAAGGAAAACATAATTTTGAAATTTTCAAAAAATTAACTAACCTACCAGAGTGGCCCGGGTCCACTTGCTCGGCCGGGCCAAAAGAAAAAAAAAATGATTTTTTTTTTTAATTTATTTTTTATTTTAAATTTGGTAAAGAACTTTTTTTTTTTTTTTTTTTTTTTAAGGCTAATTCTTTAAGCCCAACCAATTCAATTACCTGTCAAATCTGGACGGGATGGCCTTTCAGGCCTTTCTTATTGTCATTATAGTATTACGGGGAACCCAGTAGCAGCCACATCCGTGCTCAAGCCTCCACCGAGGGAACATGCAGGAGCTGCACCCACGAGCAGGTGCGATACCTGCTACAGCAGGTGGGCGATACCGGCCAGGGGTCAGCCGGTAGCATCAGGACCAAGCTTCTTCGATGGGCCAGTCACTGTGCCTCCCCTCCGGTCCCCTCCCCCTATGAACATCAGCAGTCTTTGCTCAATGCCACTCGGGGGGACCAACGGCATATCTCTAGGTGGCGGGCGCCAAGCTTGCGCAGGAAGGTACATGTCACCTTGAGGCAAAAGTTGTTCAGTTTATTTCTCTGCATCAAAAGGGCCTTTACGAATTAGATCCCTGATGAGTACCCCAACAGCGAGTGGCCCTGTCGGCCAGAACTTAAATTCACGAGCAGCAACCCAAAAGACAAAGTTCGTGAGGCAAATGTCACGTCCATAATGAAATGAAAGGTCATTTTGAACAGTCACCAACAGGTCCTGAACGAACAGGTATTGGACACAGTTTTTAAGACTGAGAAAGGGTCATGTCTCCTCGATGGAAAGCCACGTCTGTTCGGCAATGAGTCAAAGGCCACAGTCCCAGTCTAGTCATAATCCCACGTGTCAGTCCTGATTCAGACCAGGAGTCCAAAAGACAGGCCCGATGGCCCAAAGCAGCGGCAAACCATGGGAAAAAATACTGGGACACACACTTCGCACCAACGGGTACTGGGCAGGAGTCCCAAACACTTGAGGCTGAATGCAAGGCGCGCCAGACCAGTCAAGCACTATAAAGGCCTGGCCAGCCTCCCATTGGACAGATGCTCACTTCGCATGAGAGTGTGGAAGTGCCATGGTACTTGTGCACCAGATGTGTGTGGGCTGCGCTAGGCTTAAGAGCAGCGCTATGTGAGAGTGAAGAGAGTGCTGGCTAGAGGGAAGGCAGCCATAGCTGCACCAATGCTAGTTAGTACATTAGTAGGGTTAGTTAGTAGGAGAGCTCAGTGAGTAGTATTCAAGTAGATCCTCGTGTGATGGGGAGTGGGCATGCATGATGAGTGGGAGTAGACCAGGACAATAGACATAGAGGGAGAGAGAGAAGAAGACAGACGAGAGAGGGGGAGGTGTGAGCTATGGTGACACTTACCTGTTGAGCTTTTTTTTTGACGTTTGGTAGCTGGCGCTGATGAGCGCCAGGCTTGGAACTCATGTTGGTCGAAGAAGACTTGTAACTCTGTTCAGCACTATACATTTTGGACTCATGAAATCCTCTCGTAAATCTGGTGTTATGATAATTGAGTTGAGCTTCCTGGTTCTCATTTCATCTTCTATTGGGTTTTGTGTGAGACATCGCAATCTGTGAAATTTGTGTGTATGCATGTGATCTGATGCACTCCAGCAAGTGATGAACAATCAGGTTCCTAGTTAGTTGTCCAAAGGTAGTTAGTGTATGTACCTCTCTAGGTGGATCCCTCGTGGGCGATGAGTTGGCCACTCGTCGCAAACCCTGTTTCGAAATGAAAAAGCGAAAAGGGCGACTAATTATCGCAGATCTAGAAGTCAATAAAGTAAGACTAGGCAATATGATTGACAGTGGGTCAACACGCAGCTATATTAGTAAGAAAGGCGTGCAAAAGCTGCGTCTCGGTCTAAAGGCAAAACAGTTGGAAGAGCCCGTAGTAAGTAAACTTGCGAACAGTAGTGAGATTGTATTGGATAGATATGTTAAGGGGATTCAAACATACTTTCAGCTCGAGGCAGAGGGAAAGGTGGAACGCGTTCTCCACTCTCAGACTCCCTTGGTGGAAGATAGTCTCCCTTTTGACATTCTCTTAGGTACAGATTGGGGGCAAGCTGCAGATGCAGATGTGAAGCTAAGGGACCATGAGTGTTGGCTCCCTAGTCCGCAAGGTGGAAAGAGGAAAGTCCGCCTATTTCATGAATCCGGTAAGGAAAGCAGCCTGGCTCATTGTGGTACGAGTGGCCCCGCGTTCGCCCGCCATGTAAAGAAATATAATCTATATGATCAAGTATTTGTGGCATATGTGCGCCCAGTGAAGGAAGGTGAAGATAAGGAAGAGGCAAAGTCCCCAGAAGTTGAGAAAATTCTGAAAGAATTCGCAGATGTGGCAGAGGCCCCAAGCGGTGTGGTGGAACGACCTATCAAACATCGCATTGAAATTATTCCTGGAAGTTGGATTCCAAAGGGCCCAATTTACAAAATGCCACCCAAGGAATTAGACGAACTGCGAACCCAGCTCGATGAAATGCCGGAAAAGGGATGGATTAGACCTAGTTCCTCACCGTATGGTGCGCCAGTGCTATTTCTGCCAAAGAAAGATGGCGGGGTCCGCATGTGTATTATAGGAGGTTAAATGATATAAATCATATAACTCTTAGAAATGTTGAGCCATTACCCTGGATCGATGATTTGTTGGATCGAGTTCAAGGTAGCAGGTACTTCATGAAAATTGACCTGAAGTCTGGCTACCACCAGATTGAGGTAGAACGAGAAGACCAATGTAAGACTGCCTTTCGTACAAGGTATGGGCAGTGTGAGTTCATTGTGTTGCCGTTTGGTCTTACTAATGCGCCAGCAACTTTCCAGCGGACGATGAATGAACTTTTTCGTGAATGGCTTGATAAATTCGTTGTTATATATTTAGATCATATTTTGATTTTTAGTAAAAGTTTAAGTGAACATTGTGAGCACCTTCGACTTGTGCTAAATAAATTGCGCGAGGCAAAGTTGAAGTGTGAGTGGGCAAAGCGTCAGGTGTTGTATTTGGGGCACGTTATAGACGAGGATGGTATCAAACCGGAAGACACAAAAATTGCAGCTATTCGAGATTTGCCCAACCCACGTATATTGACGGAACTACGATCGCTCCTTGGATTGGCTAACTACTATCGTAAATTCGTAAAACACTTTACGAGAATTGTTGCTCCCCTTCACAGACTATTGAAGAAGGAAACGATTTGGAAGTGGGACCAAGATTGTACGTCTTCATTTCAACGTCTAAAGAAATGTTTGATTAACTATCCGATTTTGAAAGTTGTTGATCCTTCTTTGCCCTTTGTTGTTACTACCGACGCCAGTCAGTACGGGATAGGCGCTGTACTCCAGCAAGATGACGGGAATGGATACAGGCCTGTCGAGTTTCTGTCCCGACGACTGCCTAGTGAGAAAGTCACCGCTTCTACGTATGAAAGAGAGCTATACTCGCTCCGAGAAGCTTTGGATCATTGGCGTCATTATCTCCTAGGTCGCCATTTCAAAGTGTACTCAGATCATGAGACACTTCGTTGGCTAAAGATGCAGACCCGGATGACACCTAATCTGACCAGGTGGGCTGCGGAAATCGATCAGTATGACTTTGAGCTAAAGCCAGTAAAGGGTAAGTATAACGTTGTTGCTGACGCATTAAGTCGAAGATTTGATTTCTTCGGTGCTATTGTAACGTATTTAGCCATAGCCATCGATTTACAAGATAAGATTAGGAATGCTTATTCCACTTATCCTGTTTATGGCGCTATGCTGAAACGTATTCAAGAAGCACCACAAGAGTTTCCTAACTATTGGGTAACCCAAGGACTGTTGTTTGAAAGAAATGATGTGCATGATAGGCTTTGTATCCCAAACAAGGAAGAGATCAAAAGTGTGATCTTAGGGGAATGCCATGATACTGAAGGCCATTTCGGATGGAGGAAAACCTACGCCAATCTCTTGCGTTCTTATATCTGGCCTCGAATGAAATCTAATTGTATTGCATATGTGCAAGGCTGTCAAGTGTGCCAATGGAACAAAAGCACCACGCAACCTCCCCTTGGTCTATT